GAGAGAGAGAGAGAGAGAGAGAGAGAGAGAGAGAGAGAGAAGAGAGAGAGTATTTTGAACCATGATTCTTGTGTGGATTTTCCTTTAATGAAGTCTGTCAATCTTAGAATGAATAAAGACTTAGTCCAATTTGTGCTCCTGTAAAAGAATGCCAAATACAAGGTAGTGCATAATGAATGGAGATGTATTTAGCTTAGGCCTGCAAAATATGGACAGTCCAAGATTGAAGGTCTAGCTTCCTGGTGGGGACTTCTTGCTGTATCGTGGCAGAAGATAACACCTTCATGAGAGGAAAAAGGAAAGGGGGGTACTACCCACTCGGGCCTACTTCCTGTCCCTCTCTTAGACAGGAGCTTTCTTTCCCAAAATAAATTTATTCTGCTCCAAAAAAAGAAAGAAAGAAAGAAAGAAAGAAACAAAAAGAAAGAAAGAAAGAAAGAAAGAAAGAAAGAAAGAAAGAAAGAAAGAAAGAAAGAAAGAAAGAAAAGAAAAGGGTAGGGACCTAACCTAGTTGTTCGATGAATAAATTATTTCTCCAATAATAAACCTACCCCAGAGAGAGGAGCACTAACCCATTCATGAGGTCAGAAACTTTGTGACTTGACAACCTTTTCCAGGTCCATTTCCCAACACTATTTTGTTGTGATTTTGAGAGTTCAGATTCAAGTCATAAGATTCTATAATAAATTGCTTACCATCTACCTTCAAAATTCTTACACATTTATTAATAAAATAAGATGAAGGAATGTTGTCAAATAAACTTGTTAGGAATTATTCAGTTAACTTATACTTTACTCGACTATACCTGCCTTGTTACAGAATTCTGAAATGAACTCTATTACTGTTGGTAATAAGAACGCGCAAGCTTTCAATTTGAAATATAATGGAGTTGACGTTTCAAGAGCAGGTAAATAGGAAATAAGCCTTATTTGTGTTTATATATTAAAATTTTCAGGTGACATGCATCATGACTTATATACACTCTATATCAAATGCTTGAATTTTAGTAGTGGAACCCTCTTTATTTTTATTCAGAATTTTTCCAAGCATCTTTTAAATTCTTCAAATATATTTATTCTTACATACAAAGGTATTATTTACTTTATTCTAAACAAATTTCTATTATTAATATATTTAGTACAAGGTCTACAGGGTCTCACTACACAGATGAGACTCCTAGTAATTGTCCTGTTTTCAGACTCCCAAGAGTTGGAATTGCAGCCGAGCGCCACCACACCCATTCTAAATCACCATCTAAGCCTACCCCCGGGGGTAGGGACAGCACAACACATGGAGTGATCAAACCCAGCTGCTGCACTCTAGATAAGCAGTTGCTTTAATTCACTGAGCTATCTCAGCGGCCCTCAGAAAAATTATTATTGATCCTACAATTATCTCCTGAATTCAATGGTGTTTTCCTAGTCATGTTTGTTTAAAAGCACTAATAAAAACTGGAAAAATATCACTTTTTGAATAGTAAAAATAATCAAGAAAAGCAGTGAAGCAGTGCCCTAATTTATTAGCATTATGAAAGATAATTTCAGTTTTTATTTTTATGTAAAATTGAATTGATTTTATTTTAAGTAAAG